TATTACAGCTATGGAAAAGAAGTTAACTTAGGTGATCAGTTCTGATCATTCCTCTAGAAATCATGTGTCCAAAGCAAAATATAGACACCACATGGGGGAAATATCCATGAGTCCTGGATTAGCAAAATATTTCTGACTTTTGAATTACTTAAATGCAGTGCACCACTCTGAAGTCTTTCTACTATGTAACTGCTATAGATATAATAAACTTCTCTTTCACTTGGGTTTTGCTTTTGAATACAAAAGGGATTAAAATAGTTGAAGAATTTTTAAGTTTACACTGGCTTCATAAAGCTTAGATCAACCTAGCCTTTCAAAAGATACCATATCACTCTTGCAACCAAATCTGTACCACAAGGAACAGTCCAGAAGGAATGCCTTGGGCAGTTTCTCTCTCAGTATTAAGGCCATGGTAAACATTAACCATGCTAAGCCAATGTTCAAGAAATGAGTGTCACAGAAGCATCTGTAAGTGTACAGGGGAAAAAATGATTATCCAATCATCCTCAGAGTCAGAAGCAGCACCATAATTCTACTACTGCATTGTGAAATATGCATACCAGGGGTTGAAGAGGATTAAGATAGCCAGTTGAAAATAGCTGCATGGAGAGGAACAGCAATTCTCCTGCCTCTCAACTTGCAAAACATGTGCCTTCCACACCCCATATATAAAAAGATGTGTTCTTACAACATGAGGGGTGGGGGCTTATAGTTTGACAGAACCATCTCCCCCCTTTTCTTACATAAGCAAATTTGCTAGCTTGAAGAATGACAGCTGGAGGTCTTATCCTATGCCTGTTATCTCAGGACGTTTTCCTTTTCTTCTACTGCTTGAAAGCAGCATCCACAAAATCTGGCACGTGGAAGAGAGTGAAAATGCAAATCTTCTAAGAAAGTTCTCTTTTGGTCGTTATCAACATGACAATCTTTTACTAGGTTGAGAATAACTGGTGTAGAAGGAATGTTCAAATTGGACGACTGACTAGAAAAAAGAGTGACCATAAAATCCAAGTTTCCCCATAAGACGTGGATCTATTCTCTGTTCCATCTAGATTTCAGCTGCTTTTAAACTAGGCAGTTCTCTGAAAGAAACAGCACCTGTGCTACAATTCTCTTGAACTGGGTTAATCTTTGAGGATCCTCAACGGACAAAAGATGTGTTGGGACAGGGGGCTGAATAGTTTTTCATACAACTTATTATTGTTCACAGCTGGCATAGCTGTAATGTCTGATTATGAAGCCAGACTCCAGAAGTTCAAATCCCCACTGCGCCTCCAGGGAGAGGAGACAGTCAAGTTCACCTGGCAAATGTATCCACCTATATGGCCCTAGGCAAGCTGCACAGTCCCAGAATCGGAGGAAATGTAAATGACTTTTAAGTATTTTATACTTACAAAACTCTGAAAGGGTTTCCATAAACTAGGTTCCACTCAACAGCACATAATGAATTATTATAGTTCCTCTCTGTAAGGCACCTCAGCTCTGTGCCATTCCTACCTCATTTTGTGGTTATCATGAACTATCTAGCAACCACATACTCATTAACCACTGCTTCTAAGTTCCACTCCATAGTAAAGGTCATGCATTCACACTGCTCAGCGACAAAAACTGTTTAGTGTAACCCAAGCAGTCCCTTAACACTGTCTCAAAGTAGAATGATGTGACTGCCGCTCATAATACAGTATTACAAATGCCCTGATTCAACAGAGAAGCTCCTGTTCCACACAGATACTTGAAATCTTATAACTTAATGTCTCATTCATTCTTTGAGGATACATCTGTGCACATGCAGTGAGTACTACAATATCTATATGCTGGCAGGGCACAGAATAGCTGCACCTGGAGTTTTGTTTTATATAAACCTCAATGAACCAAAGACCATTAAAGATGAGCTTTGTTAATCTACAATGTTTTTCAATGCTCCCCAAAATTAATGCCCATGTGCATCACTGCTCTTTACTTCACAGAATTTGGAGCTTATTCAAGTGTAAGCCATCCACTCCTATTCTGATTTAGGTAAAAGAGTGTTAGACCAAGCAGCAGGGATGCTTGATTTCTGAAGCAATTAGAGTTGGGTGTTTTTTTCCCCCTGACCCGAATGCAGCAGTGTCATTACAAGTGTGATGTACAATTAACAGATGTTTTTAAGAAAGAGATAAAATAAAATGAGGCCACCAAATCAGTTTAGTAAAAACAGTGAATATACCTGCAAACCATCTTGTTTGATTATTGATGTTTTGGGACAATCTTCAGTTATAACTCAATATGACTAGAATAAAACTGATAAGTGCCATGTTCATACCATATATCAAAGTGTCACAGCCATTTGTTTATTTTCCCCACTACAACACAGCAGGTTATGATTATACTTTTGATAGAATTCCAAACTTGAAATAAGAACTACAAGACTGAGAGTACTGTTCTGTCTAACAACTCTACTTCTGACACAGAATTCTTTTCCACTACAACACAGCAGGTTATGATTAAACTTTTGACAGAATTCCAAGCTTGAAATAAGAACTACAAGACTACTGTTCTGTCCAACAACTCTACTTCTGACACAGAATTCTTTCCTTTCCTTTTCCTTTCCATTTGATAGTCCAGCATAGCATAAAGCTCCTGCTGCTGGTTCTGCTCTGAACTCAAAAAAGATGAAGGCTGCAATCCTAAACTCACTTACTAGGGAATATGCCCCATTTAACACAGTGGAACTAATTGCATGAGCTACGTAAGTAGGAAGGGCAAACCACGGGTTCTTGCTTTTAAATAACACTTGCCAACAACAAAGGTACAAAAAAACAACAGATATTTTTCACATAAATGTACTGAATTCAACTCTTTCGCAAAAGCCATGCCTAATTCTAATATTTCTGACACAAACTCTGTGTTCGTTATGTGGATTAAGTGTGGTGCAAAGGAAAAAGATTTTTAATTCCCTGAGCAGTCAAGAAAAATGTGAACTGGCAAGAGTGTATTTGTGTTTTTTAACTAAAATCTTCTGCTGAACTGGCAACATTCTGGTTCATATATGCCTTGTTACACAGTTCTGCATATAATATTTGTAAACAAAATAAACATTACACAGGGGTTTTTGATGCCTATTGTAACTCCTGGAACCTTGTCAATAAGCATAGGCTTCATGTGAAAGGAACCGAATACTTCCTTTGTAAGGAAAATGAAGCAAAGGATATGGATGGCTAAGTCATACTTGCAAACCATCTCATGGAAGAATCCCTCTTCCACATTGTATACTACAGCCAATACACCCTTACGAAGCCACTCACAAATGAAGTGTAAGCATAGCATTCTTTAAGAATACAGCATTGTCTCTAATACTCTGGCTCTAAGTATGACCAAAGAAAGACTCAGTGGTGAATTTCAATGTTCAAAACATAGTTTTGGTGAGAAATGCTATTTAGTGGACAGAAACTTATTCCTGATTTACATTTGCGGAAGGAAAGTGGTATAAGTCTTGCCAGTCAATTACTACTCATTAAGAAGGCATTAACAAATTTTCCCCAATCATGCACATGCCCTGAAATCCAAAGCAAGTTGTTAGCATGTGGCAAAATATATGCCATTTAACCTATACAAGTGAAAATCACCAATAGGATTCTGGCAATTGTTACTTACAGTAACTATTTTTAAGATAATGATTTGTATAGGAAGAAAATGGTGCTGATCAAAAAAAATTAGGGACATCTTTTGCCATTCTTAGTCTACTGTTACATTTGAATGCAGCCACTGTCATTTTTAAACTATCAAACATATATGGCAGATATCTTGAAGATTATGGACCTTAGGAAAAAAAAGAAAATGTGAATACCAAGAAAACAGAGTAGCTGGATTAGGAAACCACAGGATTTTGGGGGACTACCATGGGCCTTATGCATTTTGAAATTAGCAAGTACATGTTTGTATACTGTACAGAAGTGTTTCATGTCTGATTTTTCCCTAGAGTATTCACGGTACCACAATTCTTCCTGAAAGTGTGGTTCTGTGGTATGCATACATGCAATTTACACAGAGAAAATACAGTATCCTATAGAAATCTCTACAATTTAATTCCATATCATTATTTTTTTAAGAAAAATCCCCCTTACAAGAAACACTAAGGTAGTACAAAAAAGTATGATCAAGACAGTCCAACAATTAAACAAAAGAGAGAGAGAAATCATATCAGCACAAGAAAATGGAAAAACAGCAGTAAATACAACAACAACCAAAATAGTATGTCAGCCAATTAAAATGCCTAGACAAAATAAAAAGTTTTGGCACCCAAAAGGTTTCACAACTGTCACCAGGCATACCTCTATCAGGATGATTTTTCCACAATCAAGGCTTTACATCAGAAAAGGCTTTTCTCATCTCCCTACTATCAGCTAAAGTAGGTGAAGGGGAAATGCAGTTTTAATGCACTCACTTTTAAGAGTGGCTTAAGTATCTGAGTTAACATCTGTATAACATCTGTTTGTCCATAAAACTTGCAGTGGAAAGGTAAGTTGAGTTAACATCTGTATAACATCTGTCCATAAAACTTGCAGTGGAAAGGTAAGTCTTCACAAGGCATCTTGACATGCTTCAATATAGGCTGTTGAAGACTATACCATCAGCTCTTGCCAGATGTGCTCAAACTGGTGACAGATTCTACCAAACTAGCAAGGCTTTGAGAACAGCACTGCTGGAGGTCTGCATGCCTGATATATGAGTACTGCCCTAACTAACTACAGAGATGCTGCTCACCAAAACGCTGGCCATCAGGCAATAAATTATCTAACCTATTTTCTGTTGTAAAAGATTAAATAGGATGTGAGAGTTGGCTGTAACTGTAATATCTTACTCCCTGTACAACAAAAAAATTAAAATTAAAAGAAATCACCACTTCCTCGGGAGAGGCAAAACACACTGAAAGGTAAATATAGGAGCACTTTTAGAATGTCCAAAAAAGCAATGAATTTTTAGTGAAACATAGGTAATCTCAAGACTTTGAAAATACTTACCACAACACCATTCTTTGTGGTAGTCTCACGGAACGTAAAATTGCAAACAGCCCAGGCAAGATAATATGTGGACATGAGTGGAGTCTGTGAAAAGTGATCTGTAACCCATCCATCTTCTTCAAAAACAGAAGTTTCCACGGGCATATTGGACAAAGATAAATAGGTTGCTTGGTGTTTGATGCTGATTTTGAACGTGGCCTTGTAGATAGGCTCGTCAAAGCAAGGAAAGGCTTTTCTGGCATGAATAGGAGAAAACTGTGTTACCGCAAGGAACCTGAAAAGAAGCAACAGTGACTTGATTTGCTTCAGACCTTAACTAAACATTGCCTGAGAAACATTGCAGAATTTAAAAAAAAAATGACTGCAGCACAACATACAAAACAATATCATTGTGAAGCATTCTGACCCACAGGAGGCCAGACTGACCCCATCTTTACTATCCTTCCACAAGCAGGCAAAGACCCTCCTCTTCAGGCAAGCCATCCCTCGGTAAATATCTACCTGTGTGTAATTTTTAGATAGACTCTTCCCTCGGTAAACATCTACCTGTGTGTAATTTTTAGATAGACTGTTATGCATTATTGCTTTGAATTGATTGTTAGTACTACTTGTGCTTTCCATTTCTCAGAGCAACATCTTTAACATTTTTGTATACTTATTGATCTTTGCCTTAATCTTGCCTGTTAATTGATGTAAGATGTCTCCTTATTCATTGTTCATAATTTTTAAATATTGCATTTTAATGATGTTAACCACCACTGTATACTCATTGTTTCCAACTTTAAATATTCCCTTTCATTGTTGTAAGCCACCTTGTGTTCTTTTCAAGGAAAAAGGCAAGTTTGCTTTTTTTTTTAATCAATACATTTGGACATATGCTTTAAACTAACTTCTGCAGTTCAGAATGACTTTTAATTACATATGTGATGGTACAGAAACATGTCCCTAAAATATAATGCATTCTGCAAGAAACATGTCTAAGAAACGGTTTTGTTTTCTTCTTTTAGTTTATTTGCTTGCTTGCTCTTCTTGGTTTTTGGAAGAGGGCTTTGTGTGTTTTAATCACTTTCTTGGGAGGGGGGGTGCTCTCCCAGTTTGAGTGGTGTTCATATTGCTATTTGTTTAATTTAGTGTGCATGTGTTCTGTCAAAGGTGCTTTTCTATTACCTTGCCCCTGATTTTTGGAACAGTTTTTAAAGATTCTTTAAGCATGAATACAGAAACATGAAACAAATAACCCAAAACAAGCTTTGTAAAATGAAAGAGCAGTGCATGAAAAATAAAAAATAGAAGAAAGCAAGAAAGCATCTTCCAAAAGAACCTGAAAGAAATATGACAATGTTCACCACTTCCCTCTTTATAATATCTATCTTCAGCTCTCTCCTCAAAGTACTTTTAAACTTTCCTGTATGTTACTTGTTATCTGTCAGCCTCAAAATGATTTCTAGTCTCAATTTATCACTCACTTTGTGCTACATTTCCAGACTCTTCAAATACCTGATTTTTAAACTACGTATACAGAAAACTGTTATGATAACAAGATACTATTGCTAAGTTGTCTTCTACAATTAATTTTAACGGGCTCACCCACATACTGTGCAGTGGTACTGAAAAAAAACATAAGCACTGGAAAAAAATTCATTTTTCAACTCTTTGCAACCAAAACACTTTTAAAGGCAATGTTCGTGTTTTCTTTCTAGGCAATCTGAGATAGCCTGTTAATCTGCAGCTCATCCACAAACCACTAAAGCAGAATGCTTGGACTGGAGCCAAACTGACATCAGTGATTAGTTCCCACATGAAACTGGGTCTTCAATCCAAGTTATGTGCTCTTTAAATTTAAGCTGACTTAAATCCATAACAAAATATCAGAAGGATTAAACTTGTATATTTTCTGTTTTGAATTATTTATGAATGCAACTAGTTAAACTTAACTAGTGATACATTCTGCTTTCTGCAAGTTTTCAAGCTGCCATTCTTAATCATCTACAGCCTTATTCTGTGAAAGTATGTGTGGTTCCCCACAAACATTGAGGGGAGTGTGCTAGCAATGTCCCTCTCCGTGGTCACAGTGAACACAGGAATTGGACTATCTGAAAAATGTGTGACTGCTCTATCCAGATAGTTATCTCTGTGTGAACCTGAACCCGGAAGGGACTGAATAATTGGAAAAGTTTTCCCAGTCCAGCAGGCCCTCCCATCTTCAGACAGTTCTGTTTCCATGTTCAACATGACAACAAAGGAGGCACATCTAGCACTTCCCCTCAATATGTGTAGCCTCCCCACACTTCCTTAACAACTGAGTAGGTCTTATACTAAACTATGTATGCCAGAGACTACTCACTTCTTTACATTAAAATCCCTACAAATGTGTTAATACTAAACTACGTATGCCAGAGACTAATCACTTCTTTACATTAAAATCCCTACAAATCACAAATATTTATGTTGTCTGTTTTCCATACTCATGAAGGTCCATATACCACTACACAACATCACAAAAAAAAACCTGAAGAGGGGATAAAGAGGTAAAGTTTGTTCATAGCTATTGAGCTGTGAGATCTGGAATACATGGAAACATCAATATGCAGTAGCATAGAAGATGTACAGCATATCCCATCTATGCAGAATGGTAGTTCTCTGTTAAAGCACTACAGTACAGTGGAATTGATTGGTGCACTGAAATGCTGTAATCCAGAAGATGCAATACAATTCAATAGATGGGTTCTCAAAAATAAACCCCAATGAACTTGGTAAGACTTATTCCTGTCTTTTGTTGTTTTTTTGTTTTTGTTTTTCTTTTTGTTTTGGCCCAGTACTGCAGCCCCAGTTATTGGTATGTAACTGCTTGCATACATATCAACTGATGAGACGAATACATCCTAAATGTGTAATTATAGGAATGAAAGCCTTGCATGTTGGCTTCTTTGCGTAAAGATGACAGTAATTTGCAGCTATTTTAATTCCACTCTTCTATTAAGAAGGTAGGCATGTTTCTTCAACAACTTGTCTGTTTTGACACCTTAGGAACTATAACAAAAAAAGAAAAGAAAGTGAGGCTGTCAGGATCTAAGGAATTACTTTGCTCTACTTTGTACAAAGCAGAATATAGAGCTATGCTGTATGAAGCCATTATTATGACAACAATTTCTATAAGATAACCATTAATATTTTTATGTTATCAGCTTATTTCACTGAATGACTAAAATCTTTTTTGATTACAATTTTTTTTCCATTATAAAATGAAATTACTTAAGAGGTAAATTAGGATTTCCATAGGGCAAGCAATGTTTGAAAGATATTTTTGGCTTTTTTCTAAAAAGTCAAAAGGTGTGTTCTATTATGTTTAATGAAAATGCCCTTTAAATATGTTAAGAAAAGTTAGGAAAACCATTAACGGAAATCACACTGTGCTTGGCAGGCCACAAGAAATAATAAAACTATTTTCGCTTAAATGCTAGCTATACATCATGTCTGACATACCTCCAGCCGTTCAAAAAAGTTTCAAAACATTTAGGCGAAGTATGGCTTGTCTAACTTAGGAAAAACTATCACATTACTAAAAAATGCCTCATCAATTGCTATGGGAGCACAATATGATAAGGACCAACAGCCTAGTAATCAGAGACAGACTAAACATACTGAAAAAATGTTTTTACAAAGTTTTTATCAATACACTGGAGACTAAAATTATATAAAAAGGTCAACACTACATTGAAATGTGCATACTGATTTGCTAACTGATTTCATAGTCACATGGCAACTGTGAAATTATTTTAGCAACAGACAATATTACAGCAAAGCAGGAAGGGCCAATGGGTAGATGGGAATCTACTGGTTGATCTCTTCATAACCTACAGGAGAACACCATGGGCTTCTGACTTTCACCTGTCTAACAAGCTGTTACTAATAATAACAATACGCCCTCAAGTCAATTAGACACCTGCAAAACCTCACCTGTTTTTCAGAGGAAAGAATACATTTCTGGGTCAAACATTTTTTAAAGCCACTCTGTTCCTTCAGTCCTATACTATATGCTGATCAGCCTGAACCAGTTTTTCCTAACTGTCTCTGTCTGGGGGCTGTAGTTAGGATTATAAACAAAGCAGCTCTCAAAAGACTGGTCTGCTCACGTGGAGCAGCCACACTTTCTCTACCCACTGTCTTGATGATGAGTAGATTATGGTGTTACATTAAGATTTGGACATTTTAGAAACAAAAACATGTAAGGCAAACTTCTAACCCAATCTTAAGTATATATTTTTAAAGTGTTGTTGTTCTGTCAAGAAAAAAATAAAAAAACACTTGGCACTTACTACAGGTGATTACGTACTGAACTGGACTCATAAGAGTGGTCCCAGTTTACAATATTTTCAAAAATTGACTAATACAAATACTTACTTAACATTACAAACTGATACATGTATTCTAAAAAGCCACACTAAGTTCCATGGGACTTACTGCTCAATAGCTGTGTACCTAATTGCAGCCTAGATGTACAATCAGAAACAAACTAGATGTAAACAGTTGTGTTATGAGTACAACAGAAAAAGTTATAGACAATGTTCCTACTTTCTCTTTGCTCTGTAATACTGTCTTCCCATTATTACAACTTCAGACTGGCTGTAATTTGTACTAAATGTACAGATGCATTAAATGTTGACATGGTTCTCGTACTGCATATTTTAGCAATGTTATTTATGCCGGTCTAAAGATAAAACAAGTAAAGTTGGGTATTTTTTTGTATGAGAGATAATATATTAATAAACACATAATAAACACATTAATAACATAATAATTGCAAAGTTTCTAAGTACATATTGTTGATACCTTCATTACTCAGTTTTTCTAGGTTAAATTCTTACATGCATGTACAATATCTAGGAGTATATCCTACTAAACTGCATGGGACTTGCCTCTAATTAGGATCAAGCTAGTAACAAGATACAGTGTCTGTAACCAAACTTTGCAAAGCAATCATTTTATGAAAATTTCTATGGTCAGTTAGACAAAATTCAAACATAACCCATAATAAAAACAGCAGATTTTTAAAAAGTAAGGTGTAAGGAAGAAAATGTTGAAATAATTGAGCGGGATGGGTTTGTTCTCGCTTCTAACTTTTCAGATGGCAATCACTTAAGTAAACCATTTACTCAGCAGGGATTCACAAAGAAATTATGAGGCTTACAGAATAAGACTCTGTGGATGGATTTTCAATGGCTACCAGTTTAAAAAAAAAATTCATTCTAGATCTTTGCTAACAAAGCTATCTTTGAACTATTGCCTGATTTTTAATGTTTGACTTGCTGCATGTTTAAGAAGCTTAAGCCTGCTCTCACACAGACTCATGTAAACGGTCTGTAACTGAACCACAAGAAATAGAGTAATCCCAGAGCCCTTTCCAACTCTAACAGCATGCAGCCAGTATATAAATAGATGAGAACATACCACTAAAGACCTACTGTTTTGAAAAATAAAGTCATGGGCGTATACATTCTGTTTATATTTGTAGGAAAGGTTTTAAAAATCAGACTTCCATTACCCTAGTTTTGTATTTCTGCAATGTTAATACGCTATTTCCCATCAGAATTCAAAGGCATATATTCTTCCATCTGTGCAGTAAGATACTGTACAACATTGTTTACTAACATACCTGAAGATACTGAGTCAAGCTGTATTTTCAACTACTGTACTGTATAATATTATAGTTGAAAAACTATATTAAAGCCTACTTAACTTGTGAATATGTTTGACGAACAAGAACCAACAGCCCCTTAATTTTAGAGGGTACAGAGCAATGTGTAGATTGCCCTGCAGCCACCTGTACATTGACTTAGCCTTACTTTTACTTTTAACTCTTGTCCTGAAACTTCCTGCTCAAGGTGCTTCCTCAACACCACCAGTTTTCTAGATCCACACTTACTTTGGAAATACAGATCTCCAACACCATGTGTAAAATCTTTCAGTGCTTCCTGACACGTGGTTTCTCACTAGCATGCAGCTTGTTCCTCAGCTGTCAAAGGTGATTTTATGGCAGCAAACTACGATAGAATCTTGTCTACTTGACAAAGTGAGTCATCTGTGTACATTTGCTTCCAATAGCCTCCTCTGCTGGAAGTCCGCTTTACAGTTCTCAATAGAAACTTGATCTTTGCATTCTCTCCAACTACAGTATGTCTTTTTCAGATCTCCACCTTTCCCTATTTCCTCTGTTTGTCAATGTCAGCAGTTAAATGATATGGTGTCAGTTTTAAAGAATCAAAACTATTAAGGGAATTAAGTGTTCTCTCATGCTCAGGTCCACAGTCGATGGGGGTAAGGCTAGTCAAGTACTGCTCTTTTACACACTTCAGCAACAACTACAACTGATTCTTAGAGCCTTATTGTGTGTGTGTCTGTGTGTGTGTGTGTGTGTGTGTGTGTCTGTGTGTGTGTGTGTGTGTGTGTGTGTGTGTATTCTATGCTGTCAACTTGGAGCTGACTTACAGCGACCCTAATAGGGCTTTTATGGTAAGTGAGATATTTAAGGAGTGTTTTCACCAATTCCACTCCCCCAGTGAATTTCCACGGCCAAGTGTGTGTGGGAATTCAGTGTCCTAGTCCCTCACTCTACCCACTACATCACACTGGGAGTTCCTATCCTATTAATTATCATATCCTGCTAATATTGTCTGAGACGCAAATGATCAAGGTATATACACAGGTGAGTACAAAAAGCAGCTAAATCAGCCATGCTTATGTAGAACCCCGTGGCACACCATCCATTCCCTGGGGAAACTAACTAAAAATTGTTGCAGGGTTATTCTCCCCAACTGCCTTGTGTTTCTTCCTGTACTTGCCAAGCCAATGTACCTATGCCAAGTACAGTATTTGTTTGTTCCAGATTCATCTTCCTACTAAACAAAAGCAGGCACAAGGGTATAAAGATCACAGCCTGTTACCCACACAGGTTATAAGAATGCATAAACAACCCTGTTAGCATTTCCTATGATGCCATGATGTCTCAGGAGACCTCCTCTCTTAACTAAACCAAAGCATCTTAAAGGGTAGGAGTGTCAGTAGTAAAAGCAACAATGTTAAAAGAGCCTATAAGGCAGTTCCAATATTTTGTTTTCCCTTTCCCTGGATTGCAAGGTCCTAGCTTCCCACCACTACCTGGCATTCTTCTGCCAAGAAGGTTAAGAGAGATACAATTTAAAAGTCAGTAAATGCTATAGGAACAGGGTGAATTCCAATTTATTTTTAGTATCTCACCTAGATTAAGTATGGACTTTACTGATGGGAAACTGCATTTAAATATTGACAGGTAGAAACTTTTGCAGAAGTTTGGGTGAATCAGATTTCACTTCATGAACTTCTGAGATGTTTTTTTAAAAGCACCACTATGTGAGCACACATATATAGAAATCCTTGTCTTTTTAAACAGAAGGAAAGTTTTAAATTAGAGATTAAAATGAGAATTTTTAATTCTACTTTATTTTACTTTTCTGAAAAAGATTTCGTGGATGCTAAGATGAAAATGAGTTAATTTCTATGCTCATGTATTATGGATAAATAAGAAACTGAACAGAGCATGAAGACGCATTTTGCGACTGCAGACTGCGGATAAGGTACCTAGAAGCACAGCATTCCGCCTTGCATTGGCCAACACAAAGGGGAAAGCCCTGGCACTAGAGAGACCAAGAGCGAAGGTGGGCCGGGGAGTGGGATCTGATACCTTCTCTCTCCATAGAGGACGTAAGAGCTGCGGAAGAAGCCCAGCAGCTCGTTCTCGATGGGCGCGTGATAGAGGATCTTGACGTTGTAACTTCTCAGCTCCTCCAGGCTCCGGTTGAGAACGATCACGAAAACCTGGGTCTGCGGGTAGAGGAAAAAGCCGGAGACGCGCAGATCGCCCGCCAGCCGGTCCTCAGCCACGCGGGCGGCTTCGATGTGCATGCGGTGGGCGTGGAGCACGATGTAGCGGGTGGCGTTCAGGCACTCCACCTGCACGTTGACCTCGCCGCTGAAGGTGAAGTTCTCCATGAAGACGTTCAGCATCAGGTTGTAGTGGAGGGGCCGCAGGTGCCCGGACAGGCGCAGCTGAGTCCAGGGCGCCTGTTCCCGCCGCCTCTGCCACTCCTCCTCGTCCAGCTCCCCTCTTCCTGCTGCTGCGCCCAGGACCTCCGTCTCCACTCCTCCGCGGCCCGGCGGCTCCCCGACATGGTTCTGGTTCAGG